ACGAGATTGTTATTAATGCTGCGCATCTCCAATTTAAACGAAAACGATATTACCAAAGGGACGAGCAAATGTGACTAAACTATCTCCAATCTGCGAGCTGTAATAACTCGCAGATGAGTAATAAACCTTCGCTAAGAATTCTCCCTACCATGATGGATACTATTCACGTCTCCACCACAACTACACAAAACATACACAAATTACAACACTGAAAGGGTACAACCACCGACCAATCATTTATTCCCACCAACACAATACTCATCAGCCAAGACCATATTTATCAATGGCATACCATCAATGAACCCCCACCTCTCCACCTCCATAAACAGCGTAACAAAGGAACTATTTACAACCACGCGAATCTCGTCCTCATCGAAACCAACTCACCACTCATCTCCACTCGTCAATGACTCAACCACCGACCCGTCATAATACACAACCAACATCCCCAATCACCGTCACAATTACCAATCCTCCTCCTCCACTTGCCAAACGGTACCAACGAACACACTCTCTCTCTCTATATACAACAGCTGGATGGAAAACTAGAACAAGAAACGCGTGCACACACACACACACACGCCGAAATTCCCATTCTTGGCTACCTGACCGAATCGTTATCGAGCATAAGCCAGCCATGAAATCACTGATTGCACTGGTTCTGTCGTTATCGCGGGGCAGAAACAGGCTCTCTAAGCCGTGGCGAGCGGGGCAAGGTGGCAGGCAGGCAGGGAATAATAACAATGGGCCGCGGGCCACGCGGAGTCAATGCGGAGCAGCTGCGATCCGCGTAATGAAAGTATGATTGATGATCGAGTCGACGCGCGTCATTAGCTCGACACGAAGAAGCGCGACGCGGAGGATCAGAGCTCCTCTCTCCCTCTAGCCGGAGATGTTCCAGCCACGTCGTCTCTGGACGTGTTCTGAATTAGCGGCACCGCCGCCTAATACAATTCGAACGAGCCTCTCTTTGTTCATCCCTCTCGTCGCTCCTATCCTCCTTTCTCCGTCGTCCGTGTAATATTTCCGGATAAAAGAACGTGAAAAACGACGCGCCGACGATCCCTCGCTGCGCTACGTCCGGCGATTAGCGCTTCGAGCGAATCTCGCTGTGATTACCGGGGAGAAGCCTGGAAATCGGATTTCGAGAGCTTTGTTTTTGACACGGTGCGACGAATACCTACTGTTCTGTGTGCTACTGGTATCGGAAGGTGCTTTCTGAAGCGTTGGAGGATTTTCGAGAGGTGAATTGATACGTGAATGGTGATGGATTGTGCGCTCCTCGTGGATCGTAAGTTGGTAAATGTCTCGAATATTGTGGGATCGTGAGTCTTTTTACCGTCGCTCGTTCGTTTCTTGAGAAACGTTTCGGGAGAGAATGGAGAGGGTTTAAAAAAGGAAGAGTGTGGAATGAGTGTCAGTGTGGGGTAAGACTTGAAAGAGGTGATAGCGCGGAACGAAAGATTGTGTGGGGAGAATTCAGTGTGCAAAGTTTAGTTTTATTTACTTTTGTTAATAAATTATTATTATTTTAGTACACTTTCCGAGCCTCAGTCACAAGTCCAAATCAAAATCCCACAATATTTCTGTCTTCTCTTCTATTTCTTTAAGCCTGCTAAGTCTTTGCAATAGTTTTCTGTTTGAAATTTTCACCGAGTAAACTCTAGTCAACGAAGAGATGAACTACCAGTGTCGAGAGACTTATGTTGCACCCAGTATTACAGAACAAGTGAAATTGTTCTGATTTCTACGTGATTTCGAGTCCAATCGACGATTATCGACCAGCGGTTCGAAACGAAAAAGCGTCTCACCTGACGTCCAAAAGAGGGGAGAGAAGAGAGAAACCGTGGTTTGTGGATCCACGGGAGGGCCAGGATCGTTCGAAAGACACATTTATCTCGCTTCCGTTCGAGCAAAATCTGCCCAGGGGCCTAATGCTTCGGCTATTAAGCTTTAATGGACTGCTGATCGCCGGAGAGCCAAGAGGGAAGGACAGTCCCGGGGGAATCGGAAAAATGGACGAGAACGAGAAGTTTTCTCTTCGTCGAGCGAAGAAGAACGCTTCTAAGTCTCTGTTTGGCCGCGAAATTCTCACGTAACGCCATCGATTTCAATTCGAGAGGCAAAGCTCTACGGGAAGAGGCCGAGAGAACTCGCGAAGGAAAAGGGGTTGCGAAGTGGCCGTGATCAGGATTGACTCGGGATGACAATCTAACCGTACACGAGTTTCCACTTTACTCCCAATGCGGACGCCGACATTTCGGCTCGTTAGTTCCCTCTCTGACTTGGCTTCTCGCGCTGGAATTGCCCCGCAAACGCACGCATGCTCGATTCCACGCGATCTGCTGGCGACACGTCGTTGCTCGTGGTTTCGGCGAGATGGCTCGATGTAGCTTTCGATTTTAGAGTAGAATTAAAGAAACATTGTGACCTCTTAGTAAAACATTTGAAGGGTCGAAAATCTTGGAACGTATGCATATTAGGTACAGTGCTGAATATTATGAGAACGATCCAAGCCAAAAAAGCAATTATTCTGAAATTGCCAAAAATTGATTTCTACTTAGTGGTGTTAAATAAATATTATTCAATGTATACGAACACAAACATCGAAATACTCAATTCAACCCACTCTCATATTCACCAACAAATACAGACTCATCCTTCGCAGTGTATTTTTTATCAGCACCCTTGAAATCCATAGGAATTAAAGGTCCAAGAAATATCACTTCAAAGTCCATCTACAAACTGAACACTTACAAACAAAACACATTCAACTAAAGTATCAAACAGTATCTAACAGTATCAAACGCCAGACAAGAATCCCTACAAACTAAAGGATGAAGAAAGATCGTTTCACCGACCTTCCAAACTCAATGCACACCTGAAACGTGAATCAAAGGAAGCAGAAGAAGGAGCCAGCGAACAGCCCGTAACTCAATCCGCGTTTATGAGGGAGTCTGTCGTAAAAATAGTAGCCGTATCAAGCTCACCTCCGTTTAACAGAGACATCCACCCCCGTCGCGACAGGGTCGCTCTTCTCCGACGAAACAAAGGAACGTAACGAGAGAGAGAGAGAGAGAGAGAGAGAGAGAGAGAGAGAGAGAGAGAGAGAGAGAGAGAGA